AATGTCATTCTGTGATATCGATTAATATTACTATACCGCCAAAAATATCAATTTTTGATCACCATATTTTGCGCAACGGAAATTATTTTTGGTGATAAATCGTAAGTAATTTATACATCTATTTAATTAAAAACGGTAGCTCCATTTTTAATGCAATATGATGTTATGTTAAAAGCAGCTGAAAAAACGCCAATATAGCAAACTGCGAGTATAGCTTTGCACGCATTGCATACTTTATGAAGAATAAAATATGAAATGCGGGATACTGCGATTAAACTTTCATGGACAATCGATTGCCATCTCGAGCGAAAGGCACGGATTTCACGCGAATATTACCCGTAATTCTCAACAAAATGTTTAAAATTAGTCTGCTACCATATTCTCTTTTACAATATTTTTTATTTCGTTTTACATTTATTGTCGCTATTTTGATGGTCGATATTCTTTATGAAATTCATTTAATTTCCTCATCACGGTTTTTAGAATAATTATTACTTTAATATCAATTACATGAAGTTATAATCAATCATCGTACAGTTTTATTAGGTCGTTTAATGCGTAAAAGCAGTCACGATATTACTTTTTCAAAATTCGAAATTATATAGTGAGGAAACAGTTTCATTAAATTCAGTAATGAATTATGAATCAAAGAGCAGAATCACAGTCCGTTAGCTTAAATATATTCATAATGCTGAATATACTGTACTCGTAATTTCCTTTGGCGAAATAATTAACCGACTTAGACTGAAATTATATATCCGTGTTACTTACTATGAGATACAAATATAATTACATAACTCTGTGTATGTTTGAAGACTTACGTCAGACACAGCTATTATCTAGACGACTAAGTAAATTCGTCTGAAGACATGAAAACATAATTTTCAATGTAATAATTACGCTATATTACGTACATATCTTCTGCAAAACATTTCTGATAAGATAAAAAAAAATCAGAAGATCAAGTTATATTCCTATTTCTGTTCTTGTAATTTGGCATAATTTAAAAGACGCCTTGTATAAATTATATGCAGTCTATTACGTTTCATCTTTGCATTTCTTATCTTTGCTTATCATATTAAGAACACTAATAAAAGTACCATCAACACTATTCCAGTCGAATTTCATTTAAGCAATTAAAAGATATGATAGCTATTAAAAACATGCCTGTAAAATCAGCTTCTAAACAAATCTTTGTATTCTTTAAAGTAGAATTTCTATGTAATGCGCGCCATGATCATATTATGCCAACATATGCACTAAAAAAGAGTCTGGTTTCATTAATTGGAATTCTGGTTAAAAATAGACAAATTAGAATTTTCTGGCTGAATTTATTATAATTCTGGTTAAAATATAATATAATCAGAATTCTGATTGATACGATTAGAATTTTCTGATTCATTCTCTTATTTTTACTTACGAGAAATCTTTACACGGAAAGAATTGTTTTGCTGAATTTTGATCTAAAAAGACAGATCTGAAAATAATTTGATTTATCAAAAAATTAGTAGAACGTTCAAATCATTCGAATGTCAAAACTTTACAACATTATTTATTATGCTTTCTACGTAATTATTTTAAGGATCCAATAAAACTAATCCATTTACTTAAATTTTTACTTCAATAAAGTCGTTCTTTCCGTATGTAATTATCATAAAAGTACTATAATTCTTTAAATCAGATTCGTTATGTAAATTTTATAACTAAATGCGATTTGAGACCCTAAATAGCGAAAACTCGCGAGACGGGATAGCAATGGCATTTCCGCGACGTCGTCGGCTAATTGTAAGCATTCCCAAGTCGCTAATTAGAAAACTAGAAACTGCGAACGTTATCTCGCAAGGGAGAGATAGTAAGCTTGGCGTAACAACGCGACCGGAAGAACTAGAACCATATTGTTTGAATTATAATGTAAATAACTCAAAGCTAAGACATTACTGAGCCCTGCGGAAACTTTCCAATGAACATACTGATTCCGAGCTATTTCGTATACAGTGTATTAACAACATAAATGTACTGAGAAAATATTCCACTAAATTATGTAATGGAATGTGAAACAAAATTTTATTATATCTATATTTTTTGAATAAAGAACAATAAATATAAATCACGAGGCGCGTTAGGAGTCAGCGCTAGAATAATATTGCGCAAGAATATAATATATAATATACATCGATTCTGAACATTTTTATATTTTTTATTTCTTAAAATTCGAATTTTAAAAGAGAATTAATCGTACAATCTCAAAATATAATTATGAGAAATTGATTATGAGAAATGCACAACTTTGATAAGTATATCTTAACATTACGATGTGCTGATTCTTTCCTTGATTTTATCACGTCAGCGAAACTGCTTCGCGAGACTCGTCGTGTCCGCGTAATTCGTTATCTTTAAGTCTGCTTGGATCAGTTACTTCTATAACGAAGTATATCGTGATGCTTGCTGTGTACAGAACAGAACGAAATGGTGTAGTAAGAAACTGCAAACGCGATTATCTCACTTAGAAGAAATAGTAAACTTACCTATATAATTAATTATACAATTTATTTTTCTTTAGAATTTGAATTTTACAAAGTAAAAAATATAGATTCAATAAAATTGTCTTTTATATTCCACTAAACTGAAATATTTTCAATACCTGGAATCAAAACTTCTTTTTTTAAATAACTTAAATAAAAGTTCTATAATTATTATTTATAGGCAGTACCAACGTTTAGCAGCTGTATAGTGCTTTCAAAGAATTCTGTCTTTGTTTGTTATAAAGTTTTAAAATTTGAGTCGCACGCTGCAATTTCATATATAATAAAATTTTTTAATTATTTTTAACCTCTTGGATCGGTTGTTTTTAAAACAAAAAATATTTTTCTTCTTAATTAACTTGATAATTTAATGGCCAAGATTAACTCGGATATCACCATCACGTTTTTTCTCGCTTTTTATATTATTAGTTTATACTCGTATGCGCTACCATTATGTAATTTTGTTAATATATCTTTTGTACTGAAGAGGACTTCATTGGAATAAATTATATTAAAAATACACACTAATAACCAGTGTCGGCTCAAATTGGCATTTTATTTATTATTTTTTTTTAGAATTTTCTTTAGAGTATTGATTTTATTGTATTTCATATATAATAAAAATTAAAACTTACAACGAATTGAAATAAGCGACGTATTCTTGCATAACATACGAGCCTTATACATATAATATTCCGTTATCCAATGACAAAGCGTGGACTATATATATTTATCTCTATCTTATATATTTTATGCCGTTCTTTCATTTCCATTGACGTTTGGAGATGTGGTTATTTTCTGAAAAATAACTCAGGCGAAAAGTGAGTCAGAAGACCGTGAAGCATTACAAGAGTACAATGTGCCATTTAAGTTTCACGATCCGTGGAGAGACACAGGATGGAACGACTTATCGTAGGAAATTCTTCATTTTATACCTTGAATTTTGTTCAGTAGGCACAAAAAAAAATCATAAATTTGAATAATAATTGATTGAATGATTGAGTAATCTTGTTCTTTAAATTGTAATTGTTATGAAAATAATGGTATTCAAAGTGATGAGAGCTGCACCGAACAGCTCCCATGATTCATTCGGTAGGAGACTATTAGGGGTGTTATGATATAATCAATCATTCACGCTGTGGAAGTTTGCTGGAAAAACATATTTGCATTATGCACACATATGCAGATACACACATATCAGGTCCGCGCAACGTACATTTACTAAAACTTAATGAAGCATCACGAAAAAGTTATTACATTCTTCATTACTAGTCTAAATTGCAAATTGATATTTGCATCACGTTATTTATTCCGTAAACTTTAATTAATGACATGTTAATCTTATTTAAAATATGTAATAATAATATAATATTTGCAAATTAATAGACCTGTGCAAAGTATAATAATTTAGATATTATTAGATTTGTAGAAAAATGAAATTTGAATTTTACTTTGAAGTTGTAAACAATAAATTTTCATACGCATCAGAGATCCATTTTGATTATAATCACAGAATATTATGCAATGCTTGTTTAATATATTATTTATAGTATTTTTGACATAAATAGACACAGCTGTGTGTACGTTGCTTCTATCTTGCATTAAACGCTGTGAAAAAACATCATATTTGATGGAAAATATCGATCATATTTTTTGTTGTAAATAACACAGTGACTAATTATTATTTCATCTGATATTTTTTGTCTTGTATATTATAATTATGTAATTAACATATTTTATATTATAGTACGAAAAATTGTGTGTTCTGTACTACGATAATCTATTTTTTTTTTGTACAAAATTTCCAACTCTGAAATTTCCTTAATACGCGCGAAAACATGAAATGTTACTAATAATACACAATATTCTATTTCTTGTGAAATTTTCCTACGGTCTATCGCCGCTGTGAAATTGCTATATAATTTATGCAACGTCTAACGCTTTCTTTTTTTCGTTTAAATTCCAATCTTGAAATCAATATAATTTCGGTGAATCTTTTATTGGAGACGCACGAAAACGCTCTTACAAGGAACCTGTCGCAACTCCAGAACATCGATTCGATTCTTCTTGAAATCTGTTGTATTAAACACAAAATCTAAGAGACATGTTTTTTTTACATCAGTCTCTAATTTCAGATTTAAAGGATAAAACATCTCTTAAAATAAATGGGGATAGGGGTTTTTTTAATTTTAGATTTTTGAAAAATAATACAAAAAAATACGTGTTTTTTAACATATTTCAAGGAGAATTGAATCGCTTGCGGAGAATTGTAAACGTCCCTTGTTAATTTCTTTGTGAACAGTGATAATAATAATAATAATAGTAAACAGTAGATTTCTTCTATAGTATTGTATATCAGTACTTAGCATCGAAAATTAGATTCACCGAAATTATAACAGTCTCAAAAAACCTAAGCTTGGACTCTTATGCAATTGGTGCAAACTGCCGTTCCCTCACGTTTGTTTCTCGCGTGCACAGTGAACGCGCGGTTGAACATGTTAAAGTCGCTCAGTATCGGAGCGAAAGATTTACCCTTACCGCCTTTACCACCCACGGTTATCCAGGCGAGCTCAATGGCGAGCGACAACGGGATTGGTAATGCCATATCCACGAGTGCCAGCGCATCCGGAAATTGCACTACCGTCGTCTACGCGTTTCCGGAAGAGGATCACATAGTGGTGGGATATCTGAATGAATGGATCAATGCCTACTCCTTCATAACGAGTAAGTACATCATCGGTCGCTCGTTACTTTCAGCTGGTAAAACATCGGTAAAGAGCTGTTTCTATCGATCCTGATGACTCTTGCCAGGGTTGGATACGATAGGATAATTTACCCCATGAGGGTAAACGTTGACGAAAGATATTTCTTCTTGTAGCTGCCTGAGCATCTTGTGATATATGCACGTAAAGAAATCTTGATTCTTGATGAGTTAAGATTGAGTAGCTCAATTTTGGATATTGAAATATCCAAACTTTATTTTTTTATTATTGCTCATAATCTCAGTTATTACATCGATTTTATGTATGGCACCCAAAATTGGACTAATCGAAATTTATATTCTGGTCTCTCGACATTCGAAAATATTGATTCGGAAAATGATACATGTAACTGCTAATTGATCGCAACTAGCAAATGTGAGCATTGTGTGTTTGACGTTGTATTGTTTCTAGTAATAATTAGAACTGCATGTTGATTGGTTTTTCCTTTTGTTTCATAGTTTCTGAATGTTATTCGACTGTCATGTTGGATACGTATATGCAGACAATTATTTACATAAATAATATAGATTTACAACTGCAGGACAAAAGCAGATTGTTAAACGAACAAAAAACGAATTAAAAAAGAAATAATGTGCTTTTCTTCTATATATTGTTAATAATGTTGAATCTGCTGTTGTCGATATTTTACAGAGAAAAGAAAGGAAGTTTAAGGTGTATATTTAACATGATTTCTGTAGACAACCAAGAAAAGTTCTACCTCTACATTATTGTATCGGTCAGTGCTGGTATTCTGCTCTTTCTGGGATTGGTTATTGGCCGCCTATTAATCAGCCGGCATCGCGCCAAGAGGGATGCAAAATTCCATGCGAATAATGAGGCTCTTCCTAATGGATTCACTGACGATATTTCCGAGATTGATGCCGACATCGATCTCACCACGCCGGTTGCAGTGCCAATGCAAGACGCAAGGTAAATCTCTCTTTTTGATTTTCGACAAGAAAAATATTAACTCCCTTCTGTTATGTGAATTAATAAAATTGTTTTAATATAAATTTTTTCTATCTTATTTAGATCTAAAATAAGTAATTATTTTAGATATCGCTCATTTGTTACAATAACGACATAATTTAAACAAAGTTTTTCAGAAAATAAGTTTATAGATGTTTCGACGTTAAAATGTGGACATGCAATTTTAATGTAATAACTGATTGTAGAAGAACAAAAGTATGCCTTTTCTTTTTTTCTTTGTTTTTTTATATTTCTGTTTTTTTTTAAGTAATTATAAAATGACAATTAGAGACGACAATAAAAAGTGTTTACTCGAAATTTAAATATATTATAGAATTCGAAATTTGTAAATATAATTTTGATCTTAAATACTTTTTGTTCTTCTATTTTATTTTTCATAACAGGAGGGACTATCTTGGAAATTTTACTATAATTTTATCTTTCTACGGAACTCTATTAATTATATATTCTAATTATATTCCTTATATTGTAGATTGCCCGAAACGCAATTAGCCGAGAGACTTCACGGCGAACGTTATTATGCCGACACGAGGATACCTTTATCGCCGACAAGCATCCACGCCACGTCGGTATCTCACGCAACCAATACGGGGATGCGCGTTGACCTTGGGAACCACATGGTTGGCACGGATAATCTTCACACGATTCTCCGCACAGAAAATCCTCGAAACCTCAACAGCAAAAGCTATTACTATGGCTGACAAGAGGAAGGGGTTGTCCCGCGCGAGGGACGACCCCCGTCCTTGAGCCCGGTACCGGAAGTTAGCACCCGAAAATATTGCTTTTAATCGACAAAATGGTACGGCAGAAATGGACACGCTGTGCCAAACCGCTGTAAATTACGTTGAAGATGTTGAACTAATTATTATTTGTTACGCCGAATTGTGGTACATATTGTGACAATGCGATCTCAAATTTGTCAGTCGTTAGACGCCAATAATAAGCGTCTGTCGATGTTTGTTAAAATAGACTTGTATATCTGTAAACGTGTCGTCCATTCCGAGAATTTGAAAAATTCTCGATTAGAAGTATAATCCTAATCATCGATAAGATGGTATGGGAAAGGAGCAAGCATAATATATGTATAGTTAGCATTACCTTGTTGCAATACTGCAACGAGAACAATGTGGATTGATTTGTAAATGTGTATAAGAAGGCTCGAGTGGTTTATTTGAATAGGACTGGAATATCTTTATTTAAGGACCACCGCAAGCATTTATGTTGGAGCGACTGTACGTTTAAGCGACAGTTACAGAAAGAACAAAGTGCATCATGCAATCAGACGTGACAGTATTCATCGAATGTTATCATTCTTTCGAATACAAAATGGTATCGGAAAGTAGACATATGCGAATATTTATTTCTTGGATTATTAAACTGTAAAATCGATGGATTGAGTTTTATTGTTTAATAGGTAGACATATCTTATGGAAACTGTGTTATCGACCTCGTCGAGTCACGATTAACTCATTGTATACCTTATACTCACTGTATACTCAACCCACGGAAGAAACTCACCAAGTGAGTTCATGAAGCATATCGATAACCTGTCGGTAACATTCGCTGGTAACTTCTGGAACACTTATTAACAACTGGTTTGTAGCGATCTGTGCTATATCAGTAGAAGAAATCAACAGATCCAACATTCGTTTCGAAAACGTCGACAATGTATGAAAAACAACTTAAAACATTGAACTGTTTGTGAGTAATATTTTATATAATTTTCTTGGTATTGAAATTTAAGCAGGCCAATTTCTGTGAAATCTGCGAGGCAATTGTATTAGAAAAAGTCTCCCGACGTGTTTTAATCGCCGCTGCTTGTGCGCCAGTTGAAAATTATTGACCACCACTGAAGAAGCAGCGACCAAACACGATCACGCCCACACTCAAGAAAAATCTCTCAACGAACTTACAGCGGTTTTGTATATCGAAGCTGTCATAGTTACTGCCATAACCGAGACGATTTTTATAGAAATTGATATGTATGTACATCACACTGTAAATAAGGACATGTAATGTACAGATAAGTAAGTGAGAAAGAAAGAAGGGGACGCGCGTAACGAGACTTAAATCGGAAACGGTCGGAGATTGTAGCTGGAGGGTTGTCCTTCGTGCCATAGAATCGATTTTGCAATTGTGCGGGAAAACGGGAGAGCGCGCGTCTGTCGAGCCAGCGAAAACTCTCCCTCGCAGCTGATCGCAAGGATTAGTACGTAATAAACAGAGCTCGGATTTTTCTTCCTTCTAAAGCGCATAAAACGAGTGCGCTTTATCTCACCGGTGATGCGCAATCTTGTTTATCACATGTGCTTTCTTAGTTCGCTATTGATCGCAAAGATTGTACAAGAGCAATGATAGGGTCGTACCACTGTCAGAGCAATCGGAACATCACAAGAAAGTTGGTGTATCTGAAATTAAAGTATCTGACGAAACGAAATTGATTGAAATGTCTAATTCCGAATTTAATTACATTTGAAATCCGGTGATTAAATGGGATTTAAATATATGGATGTATTTTTTTTTTTTAGAAAACTTTAATGATTTTTCTTTAGAGAAAGCTTAATTTTATTTTCCTAAAAAGATATAGAATTTTATTTTTTATATTTCTTACATAATTTTGTAATTTTTATAATTATATTGCAACAAATATTATCATATGTTTCAGAGGTAGAATTGAAAGGAACGCTTGCACGGAATACGGGAATATTCGGGTTTGAATCCCGATTGAGATAATATTATTCACAATGAAATGATTTATTGGTTATAAAATGTTTATTAGCAAGATTATTAATATCCTTCTAGATATCTATGAATATCAATATTATTTTTGTGTGTGTCAATTTATTTATGATATTATTCCAGTTCTATTAAAATTGCATTTTAAGACTGAAAATTAAATTCAGCGGATTGGATATAAATTCACACCGAATTATTTGGATATTAAAACTCCAGCATGACTTTGAGGTTTTCATTTCCTAGTTGTGTATTTAACATGAAGCTTTTAAAAATTACTTTATTTAATATTTTTTATTATTATACCATATTTTTCTTATCTATATAATTTTATGTGTCTTCAGAATTTTCTGATTTTGAGCACAGTAGATATATTTATCTACTTACGAGAATAGAAAATAAGTCAAGATTCCATTTCACTTAATGAAAAATTACGATAGATTGCGTATCACGGGGACCACACTGTTATTATTTGTATCGCACAAGCCGTATTAATGTAATTTCGCTCAACTTCTCATAGTGTACGATAAATCCGAGCTCCGTTCTCGTTGTTTGTTTGTACGTCGTTCGGTAAGTCGTAATCCCCTGAACTCACACACGGTGTCGTTATGACGAATCGATCTCGCGAGCATCCGGCGACGCGGAGTCGCATTTTCGACACATCAGTGAGGTCGTTAACGCAATAACGTTCGCACTGGTCGTTATCTTTAAGGACTAGACTATCAGTTAGGTAATACGTCGAAGTCGTCGGAACATCGTCAATGGCATAATTTGATACGATCTCACGCGGGATCGCGATCATCAGGGACATATATCATTCTCGCGAATTGATTTTTCGTCGCTGTTCGCCGAAGAGTATATGCGAATCTGAATATAACTTGCGAGAAGATACATGCTTATTCGCATATATGAAACACGTGCACACATACACATATTAAACATATTTTTTTATATAAACATTAATATTTCTTTTATATACCTGTGTATATTTTCGCTTGAGGATTATAATTGATACAGTCGGTGTTTCATTTTCATATCTTTGAAAGAAAAATTAAAACCTTTTGCGGGAAAGAAAAATTTCGTTGGATCAATCAACGTATGTGTCTCTCTTTACCTCTGATATATATGTATATTTCTTATTAATAATTTCATGAGATATCTTTTTATTCAGCCATCCACCTTTTTTTTAATCTTCTCATTCTCTTATACAAATGATTATGGCAAACGGATCGATTATTTTGGCGAGCGAACATCGGTTACTAAAAAGAATTATTTTTTTTTCTACTAATCTATTAATTCTACATTTTACAATTATTTATTTATTTGTTCTATTATAATCAACCCTCGATTATTAAACTATGATAATGATCTGAATAGGACGAAGATTAGTCAATTTATTTGAATAAGTTTAATAATTAATGTTATGTTTTTTTAATTTATTACCTCTATACTTATTTTTAATATATCTCGCGTATATAGAGAGAAATACTGTATTTAAAGACTCGAAACCAGCAATATCACGAGGAACATCGATAGAAGGGCAACTCGATTTCCGCGAATCGATGATTCGAATCGTAGCTGTATAACCGAACGTGTAATCGAGTACCGATAGTAAATACAATTCCCAAGAGATATCATCACACGGCTGCACTCAGCGAGATTCAAAAAACGGAAATCGGGTTCCTTCGCCAAGATATAATTATAGTAACTTTGCGGGGGTGTACGTTTTTTTTTTAATTGGTCCACGCGTTAATTAAGGTTTACATAACGCAAAGCTGTGGAGAGGCCACCATCCGGAAGAAAATCCTCTCATCAGCGATAATGAAAATTCTTTCTTCATTATTATTCTTCCACTTCCCGCAACGAGATGGCTGCCTCGTAAGCCTCTCGGTTTTCTTTTGTGTGGTAATCCCCGCGGAATTTCAGGCGACGGCGCCTTGTATTTATGCAAATAGTGTCATGTAACATTTATGCGTCTCGAGGCGCTGGAAACTCGGAAACACTCGCCACTCTCGCTTTTATTTTAGTGTCTTCCTTATTCCTACGTCGTTATTTTCATCCTTTTATTCTCGTTAAGAGAGACATACTAATAATTGATCCTTAATTTGTCCGAAGTTCCTCGTACGTTTTGCCAGAGATGGTACCAGAATACACACATGCTCCATTAATAATATATCGCGTGTTATGCATAAAGATATCGCCGATATATTTCAGCGGCAGAGCGATCGATGTCGCTTTAAAGTTCGTCCCGCTCTAGGGACACGTTATAGTTGTATATTGCCGTGTGTTGCATTTAATATTTCGTTGAACGTGCTGCGAAATCAAGAAAATAATTTCGCTCGAGGAATCATTCCGCGTTTCTTCTTAGCATTGGCAGATCCAGAACTTTTCAAGGAGGGCCTAATTGGCTTGCCGCAAGCGAAATTTTTTTAAGGTCAAATGTAGAAGGACATAGAATATTAAATTATTATTTAAATTATTACATTGGAAAAGTACTATTTAAATGTATAATTCATAAAACGTTTTATTTAAAATGAATATGAAAGAAGAATAATATAATGGAATCTATAATTTTTTTATATCTAGGAGTTTCTTAAATTAAAAAAAATATGTTTAAAATATTAAAATTAAGCATTTTAGAAATATTAAAAATATATTATATTTTGTTATAAATACTTTTAAAGAGGGAGATTCCAAGAAGAAAGGCATGACCCGTGGGTCTACCAGTGCTGCTTAATGGCAAGATGACGGTGGTCTGATAACGTTCGCGCTTATCCATCAGTATTTACTTGACAAGATGCAAATCGCACAAGCATCGCCGTCGCTAAAATGCAAATTAGACCTGTGTAAATATGTTATAAGAAGTGCCGCTTATACAGTTTTTCACGCTTGCCTCGCGTCTGTCTATTTTCCGAGCTGTACGATCGCGCGTGCCGATTTTCTTTCGCCTGCTGAATTCGTCGACGATCTATCTTTTTATGCGTCCAGAACGCCGCGCTACCGCGAACTCCTTCATTATCATATCGCGGTCGTAGCGACGCTCGCGTTTTATTTATTCTCGCTCTCTATCGCATTCGTCTAGCGGGATGAATGATTTATACCAAAGACGCTTCATTAAGGGCGATCGATCGATCAACGGTTGAAAAGCCGACGGGTAAAGCGGCGGATACACACGGTCCTTTTCCATTGCGAATTGACTGACATCTGTAGAAAGCAGGCAAGCAATATTTCGTTAGAGACAAGATTTATTCATGTATAAATGTGTTATATAAAATGTGCATAATACTGTGATGGTACATTACTGACAAAATGTTAAAGTAGATGCGGATGGAACAAGTGTTTATCGTAAATGTTTGTAATAAACATTTGTTTCACGCTACCGCTACTCTTTATTATTTTGTGCGTTATCTCTGTTAATGTCATTATGCATCAAAAAAATTTTGCATGTACCGACAACGCAGTGTTTGCCTTAGTAGACGAAATTGTATTTTAATTTTCGAAATGGAATGAAATTTCGAAGGACTTAGGTTTCTTGTCCTTTGGTTTTTCATCGGTATTCCTTTTAATTAAGGAACGAAGCCATAAAAGCACTAGGAAATCTGCGAACTTCACTGGTCTCGAACAACGGTCTTGCAAAATTTTGTCGTGCGTCCCTTTATTTTGTTCGGTATTAATTAGTCTATTCTCGTTGAAGCAACTTGTTCGGAGTG